TCCCACAACAATTGGGTGGTGGTGTGCGTCCTGCTTCCCAAAAGCCTTACCCTTTTTAAAACTAAAATCTGCAATTCTCCCTACACTATTTATGACATGAAAAAAAGTCCGTACCTTATTTAAGACCTGACCGTTAAATCAATACCCTGTTTCAGACCTGTGTCACACAGTGTGGTAATTAGTTCCCTATTTCAGACCACTGTTTAAGTCAAATTGTGAAGGGCTTTTTTGATGAAAGAGTAGCTCCTTCTAAAAACACATAGCCAATGCAAGACTAGAATGCAAAAACCATACCATATTTGAGACCAAAGGCCAATATCGTTACCCTATTTCTGGGCAAAATAGCTAAAAAACCATAGCATTTGGGGCTGTGCATACCTGTATGACAACGTAACTGCTTATCGTTTAAGGAATACCGAAAACAAACTAGTTCTTCCTCAAGCTTGAACTGATTATCTTAAGAGAAGGTTTTCGTACAGCGGACCTCAGTTGTGGCACAACTTACTTATAGACCTAAAACAAGCATCTTCACTGACTGATTTCAAATCTAAATTAAATTACCACAGTTAAAAGTAATATCTTAATTTTAAGTAACTTTTTAGACACGGCCTCCATGAAAAGCATTTTTTTTATTGTAGTTAGGCAGATAGGTAGATAGTCCTGTAACTTTTTTGACGGGTGGAAAAACCATGTATAAGTAAAGTTATCTTATCTTTATCTTCTCTCATATAGCTGATATAAGCAAGCACCCCTCCCCAGGAGTTAACAAGCTTCCAAGCTGCATTTATCAGAAGTCAAATTTGTAACGATGAAACAGAAGCTGATAATGTGGAGTATGCAGTGGTTACGTATCCACTCTGACAGTGAGTTTTACTTTTAGATTTTCTGTCCTAGCCCTGCAAATATTATTGTTAATACTCAATTCAGTTCTTATTGTTATCAGAAAGTTACTGGAAATTGCTTGTGCATGTAGCCCGAGCAAAGAGCCCTTGGTTTAACCCTTTACTCTCTAAGAGTGCCATTTGGCAGACAACGTCACAACTTTGTTAACATTTGAGAGATTTCTATGAAATTTTGCCACGAAAATTGCCTTGTAAAGATCTGCTCATTGAAGGCATAAAATTGTGACCCCCTCTTATCTAAGGTATGGTTGACCACCTCCATTAATTTCCAATTTTTTTTTGAGATGCACATGGAATGTAAGACTTGTTTCACATCAAGCTATGCACTAAGACCTGCTAAATAAGCTATAGTTCAGGGGCATACCTATGATATTTGAGAATTGATCCGTGTTGGAAGCTTTTCAGTTTCACGTTTTAGAACAATTTCTGTCAAAATGACTACCTCTTTCATAACTGATGTCAGTTCTTAAATAAGCTGATCAGCAGCTTTCAAATGGTATATATTTGTACACAGGCAGGGAGTCTTTACTTGCTGATTTGGGAAAAACTACCATTTGTCCTAGGGGGTAAAGGATGAAAAGTACATGTACAATTTCGGATTGGCCTTCACAGTAGATCATTGATGGAAGGGGTTCATGAATTGTAACTAGACCATGAGTAATCACTCTTTCACCTAGTTTGTTGTGGGTGACGCAAAAGGAAACCGTTAGAAAAGAATGGTATTAGGCAAAATACTGGGGGTGAGAAGCCATGAGAAGCATGTGAAAGGAGGGAGTATTGACAAAGGCAGAGAAATCAATCCTATCATGCATTCTGCGTCATTCTCTTTCACTCCCTGCTCTGTCAGTCAATTCACTGACTTGCTCTTCAGTGTTAAGCGACCAAATCACTAACACACCTGCATTCAGGTTTGAAACAGAAAGCTTGGCCAAACAAAACAACTGATAAAATTAAATTCTTTCCAAAGCCTGTAGGCAGAATCACAATGAGGGAGTACCAGCAAAGGCAGAGAGGTCAACCCTATCATGCATTCTGCATCACTCTCTTTCACTCCCTGCTCTGTCAGTCAGTTCACTGACTTGCTCTTCAATGTTAAGCGGCCAAATCACTAACACATTTGCATTTGGGTTCAAAACGGATAGCTTTGCTAAACAAAACACTTGATAAATTAAATTCTTTCCAAAGCCTGTTGGCAGAATCGCCACAACTTCATGGCCCATGAGACACAATTCCAGTGCTTCTGTTTGCTCCAGTTTTGGAAAGCAAGGTAAACATTCCTGCAAAACGTCATTTGTATCTTGATTGGTGATGTCCTTCTTTTTGGCATAAGCCAATCATTCTTTTGCATAACGAGAATAACACATAATTCACACTCTCTGGCTTTGTCGGTAGTCTCTCCTCTCTTGCGCTTCTTGTGCCAGGATTTCACGTGGTCATTTTTTCCTTGGGGTTTTCTTTTGCATCACGCACAAGAGACTTAGGTGAATGAGGGACTACTCATAGTTTATTTTAACTGCATACTATTAGTGGCCCTCCTTCAAGCCATGCAGGGATTTTTGTTTTTCATGCCTGTTTGACATTTTTCCCTCCTCAACCATTTTTCTCTTTCTTTTTTGGAATTTGTTCCCTTCCCCCCCAACAATAATCTGAAAAATGGGCTACCAGTTATTTGAATTTAAACTTTCCATTGGTTTGTTGTAAATTTACTTGAGTGATTGATTGATTAATTGGTTGACTGTTTGAACATTGTGCACCTAATGCTGGATATCCTACTTGAAAAAATAGAGAGTACATGTATGTCACTTGATGTCTGTATTACTTTTCAGGTAAACATTATACAAAGCACATTGACATAAAGTGGCAGGCCGTCTGGAGTACTGAAAGAGGAATGATGGAAGTCAGAGAAAGCTATTAAAAGGTAATTTTGTGTGTATATATGGGCGTTGGCAACTCTACATTATTAATAGTAGTTAAAAGCACTGCAATAGCATCAGTATACGTAGTACTAGTTGGGATTCTTTCTGTTGAGAATTGACAAAGGGGATGACACCGTTATTGAACATGATACTGTTGTCTTAGTGGAAAGATCCCAGGACTCCTGTATTAAAGTGTTAACTTATCTTGATGTAAGCATTGAAGGTTGTTCTTCAGTAGCATTTTGCATAATATAGTGTTCTTTCACATGGGGTGGTGAACTGCTGTATTTAGTCAAGTCAAGTCAATGATGTTGTCAATCTGCAAAAGCTTGGAACATTGACTTCACTAATTACATTCAGTTTTTAACTAATAAAACCTCACTCAAAAGAACACTACATGTAGATAATCTTGATGTGTTGAACGATGAGGTTATTTACCTGGAGAAGGCAATGCACTATGGGTTGCTGGAAAAATGTAATAAAACTGCTGTTAAAATGATCACTTTTACTAAGTAAACATAGCATTTTTAATTTGCTAGTGACAATGTTGCATTTAATAATGTTTACTCAAAAATAAACAGATATTGATAGGCTTTTCATTGAATTTTTTCATTTATGATTTATTTGTTTTATTTTTGTTTTTTTGATTTGCCACACAAACAAAAATAGAATTCAAATACAATGGTTAATAAATTGTGAACAAAAATTAATTATTAAAGATTAATTACAATTAAGACACAAAACTACAATTTATATAATCATTAAAGGATAGTTCTAAAAAAAATGATGAGGGAACCTAATAAAAACCACGGGGCTTGTAGGCTTAGGTTCCCTCTCAAGAAACACCAGATAACTAATTTAGATAAAGTTCATGTAACTAATTTAGAGGTTGCTAATTTAGATAATCAGGCAAACAAGAAGCAAACAACAGCATACTGGACAACTAAGATGAATGGAGGAGACAGATACAGCTAGATCAGGTCAGTTTATATTTATGGTATCTGCAATGGTGTTCGCAAGTGTACCTACACTTAGTAGTTGTAATTCCATCAGTTAGATTTACAACGCTAAAGTATACCAATAGTAAGTGTCATAGTTTGCATGCGGTTTTATACATGCACGCATGTGCATCAGAATCCTTGTGTAGAACTCGCTTGCTGTAATAAAAAGTTGTTGTGTTTATTGCCTTTAATCTCGTTAAATCTTGTCCATCCTGACTCGATACTACAACATGGTGTCAGAAGTAGGATCCTCTGATTTTCAAAGAGAATTTTGAGCACCAAGCCGGTGCATATCCACGCCCTTGATCAACCTCAATAAAATGAAACCATGGCAGAGCTAGCCAGATCACCAATTCTCTGTATGGACGGGTTGTCATTGGACACACCGCAAGCTCTCAGAAAATTCAAAGATCTCTGCCAGCTGTACTTCTCCGGCCTGTTGAAGGGAAAGAGCGAGGAAGAACAGATAAGTTTTTTGTTGATTTGGTGAGGCGACGAAAGCTGAGAACTAGCTTCCACATGGACGCTAACAGCCCATGAAAAGAAGGAACTCAACACATACTGGGCAAACTTTGAAAACTATGTGGCGCCAAGAAGTAATTTCAGACTTGCCCGTTACAAACTTTGCATAAGCAAGAGTCGAGCGAAACAGCCGCCTCCTTCCTCAAGAAAGTCGGTATCGTAGTAAAAGAATGTAAGTACACACACCCTGACAACACATCACTGATGCCTTAATCTTTGGATCAAATAATCCACTTGTGCAGTCAAAATTTCTTGAACATGATGACACCTTGACACTTGACAAAGCAACAAATATTGCAAGAAACCAAGAGGCTACAAGTAACCAGTTAAAGGATATCAGAGGCATTCAAACTACAGCAGTCAATGCCCTGAGGCAGGGTCCACACACAAGACAGCGTTCAATACAGGAAAACCAAGCTAAAGATGAAAGGTGTGGAAACTGTGGAAGTCTTCATAACCTAACTCCAAGATCTTTGTGCCCAGCTTATGGAGCTAAGTGTGAAGCCTGTGGCAAAATACAAATACTTGAAGGCTGTATGCCACTCTCACCCAGGAATAAAGTCACAAGGCCATGAGCAATCCAAAGACCGGTGGCAAAAGAAAAGGGAGAACATTCATGCCATTTACACAGCTGAGCAAAGTGCTGTCAGAGAACACTAACACACCACACATGCTAGACACCCCACAACTGTACTTCCACCCCTTATACATAAACAGTGTCTCTGAGAACGATACACAAGCTTTACTACAGCTACAAGTAAACTCTGGTCAAGTCACAGCACCCCTACTATGCAAAATCGATACTGGAGCAGAGGGGAATGTCATACCCGTAGACGTATACAATCACCTGTATCCACAGTCAAGCTACAGCCCAGAAAGTGCACCGCTGGACTAACTCCTTCAAATACAACGATTACTACCTTCGGGGGTCACACCATACCACAGTATGGCATCTGTGAGCTCACCCTGTCACACCATAGCCACTCCAAATTGTATGCGTTCCATCTAGTGAACACTGTAGGCCCAACAATTCTGGGTCTCCCGACCTGTTGTGATATGAAGCTCGTCACCCTCGACTATGGTATCTCCACCACACAGACTGAAACAGTGCGTACAGCTGTATGCCAAATCACAAGGCAATGCAGATGCAAAGTCAGAGCTTCTTTGCCAATATCAGGACTGCTTTCAGGGAATTGGGTGCTTCCAAGGGGAGTTTCACATCACCCTAGACCCCACGGTTCCAACAGTCATCCACCCACCACGGCGTGTACCTGAAGCAGTACTTGAGCCTCTTAAGAGAGAACTTGATGCACTTGTTGAGCGAGTCATAATAGCCAAGGTAGATGGGTCCACCGACTGGGTGAACTCATTAGTTTGTGTAACCAAGGCCAATGGTACACTTCGGCTGTGCTTAGACCCAGAAGATCTCAATCGTGCCATCAAGCACCCACATCACTGCACCCCAACATTAGGCGATGTACTCCCAAAGTTGAATGGAGCCAAATACTTCAGCATCGTTGATGCCCAAAGTGGATATTGGAACATTCAACTTGATCACACCATCTCCTTGTACACAACCTTCAACTCACCTCGTGGCAGATATAGACTCCTATGGGTTCCCTTCGGTCTGACATGGACCCAGGAGAACTTTCAGAAGAAAGTTGATGAAACCTTTGGAGATCTCCCTGGTGTAACCGGCATCACTGATGACATCGTCATCTGTGGTTGTGATCTTGCTGACCACGATGCAAACCTGAAAGCAGTCATGGAACGTGCTCGTGATACCGGTCTCCGTTTCAGTGTAGACAAATGCAAGATAAGATGGACAGAAATACCATTCTTTAGTCACATCAGCTCAAGCGGCCTCAGACCAGACTCACAGAAGGTGAAAGCTATCAGCAGCATGGACCCCTCCACGAGTCTTGCTGACTTACAAATCTTTCTTGGTATGACACAGTTTGTTAGCCATTATCTGCTCAACCTAGCATCACACTCAGCCACCCTTTGGGATCTCACCAAGAGAAACAGTAAGTTTCAGTGGCAGCCCCAGCACCAGCAAGCTGTAGACGAGATTAAGAAAGCCATCACATCAGCCAATTAATTACAATACTTTGACAGCACAAAGCCAGTGATTATCTGAGTTGATGCATCCTCACGTTGCCTTGGTACAACCTTGCTCCAAGACAAGGGTCCCATTGAATATAGAAGCAAGCTCTTGACAGAGACAGAATCATGCTATTCAAACATCAAGAGAGAAATGCTAGCCGTAGTACATGGTCTTGAGAAGTTCCACTACTATGTATATGAAAGAGGTGTCACTGTTGAGACAGACCACAAACCGTTAGAGGCAATTTCCAAGAAACTCCTCGCTACTGCTCCTCCATGCATTGCAAGGATGATGCCCAGGGTTCAGAAATACGATGCTGAAATCAAGTATGTACAAGGAAGGAACATCCCACTGGCTTATGCATTGTCCAGGATCAGGCCCTGTCCTGGTGACACAATTGGAAGGCTGGATGTGTCTGTCCATGAACTGCACCTCCACTTGAATACAAGCCCAACAAGGATTGCAAAGATTAAGGAGGAAACAGCCAAGGATGAAAACCTTCTCTCACTTCGTTCAATCATCACCCAAGGACGGCCTGACACAAGATCAGATTGCCCAGTACACCTTCATGCATTCTGAAATTATCGGGACGAATTAACAGTTGTAGATGGAGTAATCCTGAAGGGTACACACATTCTTATTCCGAAGAGCCTACAGGCAGATGTATTGCAGCAACTACACTATGCACACCAAGGAGCAGAAAAATGCAAGCTCCGTGCCAAGGTTTCGGTGTTCTGGGTCAACATAAACTGCGACATAGAGGAGATGATCAAATCCTGCGCTCCATGTCAGCATAATCAAAACATGGACTTAAAGGAGCCCCTCATGCCTCATGACATCCCACAGAAACCCTGGCACACACTTGGATGTGACATATTCTTTTGGGACAATTCACCCTATTTGCTGTTATTGGACTATTACAGCAAGTTCCTGCTTGTGCGAAAATTGAACGACATTCGGTCAGACACAACAATAGCACATCTGAAATCCATATTTGAAGAGCATGGGATCCCAAATAAACTTGTCACTGGCAACGACACCCAGTTTACTTCTGCATTATTCCAAGAGTTTTGCAGCACTTATGGTCTCATCCACGCGACAACTAGTCCAAACTATCTGCAAGCCAATGTTATTGAGAGAACCGTACAGACTGTGAAGAACCTCCTCCAGAAATGCAAAGAACCCGGTGCATATCCTCATCTGGCCATGTTATGCCTCTGCAGCACCCCACTTGACCACAGCATCGCATCACCAGCAGAGCTCCTGAACTCCAGAGTATACCAAGCCAACCTCCCTTCCATATCCAAACTTGGCCTGTCATTATCTGCAGATGGAGAGGTAAACACCAAGCTCCAAGCACGACAAGATCAGCACAAATCACAATACGACAAGTCCTCCAAGGCCCTTCCTGCCATACGCCCTGATGACCCAGTGTGTGTACTTAAACCACTTGACCAGAAGTGGGAACCTGGTATTATCAAGTGTAGCATGCAGGCCCTCGCTCATACATGGTCACCATGGCAAATGGCAGTACCCTCAGGTGAAACCGCAGTCATTTTCGACCAACAGGAGAGAACATTTATATCCAAAACAACATCCTCAGTGATGAACTACTAACACCCCTGAATGAAGTCTGCAGCACCATGCCCAGCATCTCACGTAGCAACTGTGAACAGACCACAATGGCCTCCGATGCACCCGTTAGTACACAACAGCTGAGATATCCAACTCCAGAAGCTCCACTCTGCAGATCCTCAAGACTTGTCAAGCCCCCTGACCGATTGGACTTATTGAGTGAACTAAAAAAACTTATGTTGCTTTGATTTCGTTCAAGGTCACTTGTTGTATGTGATCTTCGTGATCCATAACAGTTTTGTTTCCTTATTATTTAGTTTCTTTCTGCGACTTCATAGCTCCTTTTAGAAGGAGGGGGATGTCATAGTTTACATGCGGTTTTATACATGCGCACATGCGCATAGGAATCCTTGTAGGACTCGCTCGCTGGAATAAATAGTTGTTGTGTTTACTGCCTTGAATATCATTGAATCTCGTCCATCCTGACTTGATACAACAACATGTATCTGCAATGGTGTTTGCAAGTGTACCTACACTTATTAGTTGTAATACCATCAGTTAGATCTACAATGCTGAAGTACACCAACAATACGAAATCACAAGTAACTCAATAATTATGTTTGTATCTCTTAACAAGGAAAACAAAAACACGAAAAAATCAAAAGATCAGTGGAGGAAGGGAAATACGTCAGGCATGGCAGGTCAGTCAAAGTTTTTCTTTATCTGTAGTGGACTAGTGTATCACTATAATTTTAAATAATCACTTTGAGGAACAGGTGCAGTGTACCATTATACATGTAGGATGGAATTAAGGCTTCAGAATTTGGTTAAATGACACTCGTTGGTGTCAAGACTAATAATATTATTGGGAACATCCATGCTTTTTCTTCACTGGACAAGAAATAGTTGAAAGTTCTTTAACCAATGTGTTTTTTCACAAGGATTTGTCAACTGAAAGTATGGCTTCTTTGCCTCACTTCAAGTAATTAAAAATGTGTGGATCTAGTCAATTTATTAAAAAAATGTTTAGTTTCTCCCGATGTTCTTAAATGTTGACCACGATGATTCCAAATTTTAACTGAGAAAATCATGTTTTGATCACAGTCAACCTCCTTACTGGCAACTAACAGATATTCCAAATTTCAGTTGAGAAAATGATGTTTTGATCTCAACGTCCTTACTGACAACTGATAGATGATTCCAAATTTTAACTGAGAAAATCATGTTTTGATCACAGTCAACCTCCTTACTGGCAACTAACAGATATTCCAAATTTCAGTTGAGAAAATGATGTTTTGATCTCAACGTCCTTACTGACAACTGATAGATGATTCCAAATTTTAACTGAGAAAATCATGTTTTGATCTCATCGTCCTTATTTACAACTGACTGATAATTCCAAATTTTAACTGAGAAAATAGCGTTTTGATCTCAATATCGTTACTGACAGCTGACTGATAGTTCCAAATTTTAACCGAGAAAATCTTGTTTTGATCTCAACATCCTTAAGTACTGACAACGGATAGATGATTCCAAATTTTTACTGACAAAATAATGTTTTGATCTTAACATCATTATTGACAACTGACTGGGGATTCCAAATTTAACTGAAAAAATCATGTTGTGATCTCATCGTCCTTAAGGACGTTCATGTGAAAATTTTCCAACATTGATTTTTTTCTGAGACCTTTACCACTGTAAGATGATTAGTTAGTTATGTCAGAAATGTGAAAAAAAAAATTGTTGAGTCACCGACTTCGTTTTGGAGAGAACATGCCCGGAAGAACACCCTAAATCTGAAAAAATCGGGCTCTGTTAGCGAATAAGGCCATGGTGTCTGTAAGCCCAAAAATATTCCAATTAGATCTTTGAAGAGAAATTTTCTCTGCCAAATATTGTTTAAGTGGACCTATTAAATGATTTTAGTCAACTGGCAAGGCTCCTTAAAGGACAAGTTCTCATTTAGCGACCATAGTTTCACGCGCCTTGCAGCTGCAAGATGGCAGGATACATTGTCCCGTGGACAGAAATCTTGAATTTTTTACACCCGCTTTCAGTGTTACGTGCATAGAAACTATCTTTCGACATGCCATCTTTCGACATGCTATGTAACCTGACCTACCTCAAAACTGTAAGCACAACGTACTTCGTTATGGTTAAACTCAACTGTTAGTCATGAAAGATGGATTTATTTGACATCAAACTCAGGTTAGGAGATCAACAAGTCATTCCGTGAGAGACAAATTGTTTACATCTTTCGAATATTAAACTGAGCGGTAGCGGCCCAATTCTACCGGAAGTCACCATTAAGCGCCGATCGACTACATTAAAATCGTTTGAATTATCCCGTAAATCGGAAGTCCACAGGCTCCTTCATTCATTTGAGGTCAGTAATTATCATATACTTGTCATTTGTTCCGCTAATAACCAGAAAAATTGCCAGTTTCACAGATAAACGGTCTTTCTGCCGTTTACATAGCATGTCGAAAGATGGAATGTCGAGAGATGGTCGAAAGACGTCGCCTATTCACGTAACACTGAAAGCGGGTGTAACTTCCCACACTGATTTTTTGTTCATTTTTGGACAATGTGGAGATAATTGTAAATAAAATCTGTTTCTGAAAAGAAAAGTGGGGTCACTGAACGCCCAAGATCGTATAATCCAGGGAAAGCTATAGCAGTGGCCATCTGCCCTATCATAGTTCATTTAGTACTTAGCGGGCGCTCTCATTCATGACGCGGCGTGTGAATTTGCGTGTGCAGTAAGGATGCGCGGAAACAATTAGTGCGAACATCCTTAATTACAACTGACTGATTATTCCAAATTTTAACTGAGCAAATAGTGTCTTTACAATAACTGTCTAATTTCTCGCGCGAGGATTGGCTCATTTTTATCGTCAATAAGAGTACAGACGGATAAAATTTTAATTTATGCAAGCTTTCAAGTTCAATTTTTAGCTGTCAAACTGTCAACGTTTTAACCAATGAGATTTTATGAACTTTTTTAAGTAGCCAATCAAAAGAACGAGAATTGCTATGGACAATGTTCGCGTCATTTTGAATAAAATTCACTTATCTTTGTCTACGACAAGTTTACGGCATCTTTCCCCTCATTTATTTCCGGCATTTGATCATTTTGGGGTCTTGTTATTGTAACAAAACAAATTGATGTCAGCTTTTTATGCGTCTGTCCTCTTATTGATAATAAATTTCGTCATAGCATTGTCAAAGTTTACTGCGGAACCACTCGCCTGCAGCTTGTGGTTCCACAGCCACTTTGACAATGTTGACGCAATTTATCATAAATAACAGGAAAGACGCACAAAAGACTGATGTCAATTTGTTAATTTGATCTCAATATCCTTACTGACAGCTGACTGATGATTCCAAATTTTATCTTAGAAAATAATGTTTTGATCTCAACGTTATTACTGACAACGGATGAATGATTCCAAATTTTAACTGAGAAAATCATCTTTTGATCTCATCGTCCTTAATGACAACTGACTGATGATTTCAAATTTTAACTTAGAAAATAATGTTTTGAGCTCAAGTCCTCACTGACAACGGATAGGTGATTCCAAATTCCAACTGAAAAAATAATGTTTTGATCTGAACATCCTTACTGTCAAGTGACTGTTAATTCCAAATTTTGTTTTAAAGAATCATGTTTTGATCTCATCGTCCTTACTGAGAACTGACTTTAATTGAGAAAATTCTGTTCTGATGTCAACATCCTTACTGACAACTGTCCGATGATTCCAAATTTCAACTGAGAAAATCATGTTTTGATCTCAACATTCTTACTAATTTTAACTGATAGAATCATGTTTTGATCTCGATGTGCTTACTGACAACTGACTTTAATTTTGATCTCAGCATCCTCATTGACAACTGACTGATGATTCCAAATTTTAACTGAGAAAATTATGTTTTGATCTCACCGTCCCTACTAACAACTGACTTATGGTTCCAAATTTGAACTGAGAAAATCATGTTTTGATCTCAACATCCTTACTAACAACTGACTTATGATTCCAAATTTTAACTGAGAAACAATGTTTTGATCTCAACGTTCTTACTGTCAACTGACTGATGATTCCAAATTTTAACTGAGAAAATAGTGTTTTAATCTCAACATACGTACTGACAACTGATAGATGATTCCAAATTTTAACTTAGAAAATAGTGTTTTGATATCAAAGTCCTTACTGACAACTGGCTTAATTTGACAAAATCATGTTTTGATCTCAACACCCTTAAGTACTGACAACGGATAGATGATTCCAAGTTTTAACTGAGAAAATAACGATTTTGATCTCAATGTCCTTACTGACAACTGGCAGATGATTCCAGATTTTAACTGACAAAATCATGTGATCTCACCGTCCTTAGTGGCAACTGATAGATGATTTCAAATTTTAACTGAAAAAATAGTGTTTTGACCTCAACATCCTTACTAACAACTGACTGATGATTCCAAATTTTAACATAGAAAATAATGTTTGATGTCAAGTCCTCACTGACAAGGGATAAATGATTCCAAATTCTAATTGAGAAAATAACGTGCTGATCTCAACGCCCTTGTTAAAGAGTCCACAAAGTTTTTATCCTCATCAGACATAAGAGGCGGGTATATACATGTATATATCTCTTTACACTTTAACAGCTTAATAGATTGCTTCGTTTGGAAACGAGAGTATTTTGAATTTTAGTGTTATGGAGATGCATGACACAAGGCTACGATCGAGTTTGTTGAAAAATATATACTTATCTCATGGTTTTGAGCCTTTTTGGAAGTTGGAGCATTAGGAAAAGTGTTTATGTAAATGCTTGTTTGTTCAGTACTGATAATCAGTCGCCTAGATAGCCAGAAAGTAAGTTCCAGATAGTTAAACTATTTTCCGGCCGCCATATTGGTGTACCACGGATGTACACCAACATGGCGTTTTATTACTGGGCTCTGTAAATTTCTGCGAAACATTTCGACAAATATCTGAAGTTTGGGAGAACACACAGGCCTAAAACTTGGAGAAGTGTCTTATTTAGTTATCTTCTATAACATCACGATTTCTTAGCTTTTTCCACTGGACGATTTTCGGTTTATTTTTTTACTGCGTGATAGTGACAACGATCTATGCGGGAATTCTGTTGCCAATGTACATGGGCTTGGATGAAGAAAGCTTTACGTAGTCGCAAAGAAAGGGCGAATACAATATACAAACTTCAGTATATAAAGCTGCAGTTTATATGTCAAACATTTCATTTTTCTTTCTTTTTTTTTCAGGATTTCCCAGTGACCAGACGACTGAGGAAAGATAAAGGGAAAGGCAAGACATGACATGACATGACATGACATGACATGATACTAAAGACACAACATTATTCATAAAGGACAAAAGTAAGACAGATTGAGAGATTTTCTTGTAGCCGAAAAAAATAGGACTGTAAGATAGGAATTTTTTCGCGGACTAAGCTATCTATAAAAAATGAACTGGCTCGAATATGATTTACAGTTAGCTTTGCTGTACAAATTTTATCCAGTTTTAATCATTTTGGATTGTGTGACTGACGCCTACGTGACTCTTGAGCATCAGTGGTGTTGCGTTACACTATCGGCCGATGAGAATATGTTAGTATGAAGGCTTTGTGCGAGAATTGCAATACACGGCATTGTAATAGGAGATTTAACTGTTAATTTGGCTTGTTTAGATAAACAGCAAGGCAGCAGAGTACCAAACAAAACTTTGTTTTCTTTATTTTCTGAGTTAGCATTTAAAATACGGCAACATAATTCCCGTGCAAAACTTTATTAATATATTCTCAACGGTCGTTAGTGTAGTGCTATTCAATAGTCACGTTCGTTTCTTTCATATAATTCACCGAGCTCTCGTATCGTGATCTTCGTAATTCTTTGATTTTCCTCGAGAAGAAAATTCTTATAGTTAGCTTTCGTGTTTAGAATCACAATTTTGTTTCTAATTTTTTTTACAGACCAATTTCAGAATAGATTGTCTTATTTATTCAAATTGTCTCAACCAAAAGCTATTTTAAAAAGTTTTTAAGAACCAGAATTTAGGAAAATTATTGCTGCTAAGTTTTTGTCGAGTTATTTCAAGCGTATTTCGTCGAGTTAGCTTTGTACAAAATCAGTTTCTCTTGTTTATTAAATATTATCTATACAATTGTCTCGACTGCCTAAATTTACTCTAAGGGTAACCCTTGTCAAAATTTTTAATTTTCCCGCCAAAAAACTTAGAAAAAATACGGGCGCCAATAATACGCATGCGCCAACTTTTTTTAAAAAAAAGTTTTTCTTAACATCTGTGTAAATACTTTTAATTTTCCCGCCAAAAGACTTAGAAATATTACGGCGCCTAAAATACGCATGCGCCATTTTTTTTTTTTCAAAAGATGTAAATATTACTGAACTTATTAATCAATAAATGCAATCTTTTATTCAGGTGTCCAGTTATTTTGTAATCTTTATTATTAAGGAAATAAAATATTTCAAACAATAAAGTATTCACAACAAGTGTTTCATTTCAATTGCTTTATTCATCTTTAATTTTTTACTTACAATGTATTGTTAATTAGTTAAGTGTAATTTAATTAAATTGATTATAAAGGTGCCATCAAAAATATGCGCTCTATATATACTAAGACTTTTGGCGGGAAAATTGGAAAAAATTTGCACAGCGTTTCCCCTGGCAACTTTTTTGACAAAAATTTTAAGGGGGTACCCCCTTGAATTATTTCCCTCCAAAAAAATTTAACGTATACCATCGTGAACACAGACTAAAGGAAAAATTTTGATTCCAATCATTCCAGTTATTCAAAAAAAGAAAGATTTTGAATCCAGGGAATATTTGTTTGTGTTCAAGATGGTATATATTCCATGATGATATCGTGTTATCTAGTCAGCCGTAAAATGACGAGCAAAATAAATATATTTACAGAAATGAGAAAAGCAAGTTAAAATTTGTGCAACGTTTCTGCAAATCATCGAGAGGGTGAGAACATTTCTAAATCGAAATATTTAAGAAAGTTTACATAGCCGGGTAACTTGAGCCCCAGCTATGTAAACTCTCTTAACTATAGCGATTCCAAAATGTCGCCACCTTCTCAAAGGTTTACAGAAACGTTGCAATTGAACAAATTTTAACTTGCTCTTCTCATTTCTGTAAATACGTTTCTTGTTGCCCCTCATCCACAGCTAAACTATTTAACTTGATATCATCATGCAATGTATTTCAAGAAGATAGTGGAAGTAAGCCATGAATCTGATTGCTCCTCCGAAATAAAAAAAAAAGCGAAAACGTCGTTCAAATCCTAGTATTTGGAAAATTTTAGAACTTCCGTCACTTTTAGTCGAGATGAAAAAGAAAAAAAAAAACAATACCCGACAAATTATAAGCCAATTTAAAAAACTGTTTATGGCTTGCTTTGTTATCTTCTAGAAATTACTTCCAGCGAGGTGTCAAAGGTTAATGTCTGGTCATCAAGCTTCAAGTGTATCAGAATATATCCTATGGCTTCTGTTAAATACTTGAACTAAAAATTTGTCATTTGCGAACGAAAGCAATAACATTTTAGATGAATCAGAACATTGAACTACAGCTTTGAAGAGCAATAGTGCTAATAGCAAGTGTTTTGAAAACTTTTGTTCGTAGCAAACGATAGCGATAAAATTTTAGAACAATCACGCAATTGGAGCTACGTTTAGGATGATAAATGTCATAGTGAATACAAACGATAGCAATTATCTTTTCAAAGAATCATACAATTGGTTCCAAGTTTTGAAAATCAAAGATAAAATGGTGAATACTTTCATTAAAAATGCTTCTAAATCAAACAATTGGAGCTGCATTTTTGAAAAGCATCAGATCAAATTGTGAAAATTTTCAGTAAACATGTTTAGCAGTCCAAGTGATAGCTTTAGAATAATCCGAAGATTGAAGCTACATTTCAAAAAAGCAATAGATCTGATAGTACAAATGACAGCCAAAAATTTTGGAAAATCAGACAATTAGACCTACATTTTTCGATAAGCGATAATGAGAAGAGTTGCTTGATACCAGACATAATTCATTACAGCCTCGCTGGAAGTTAATCAAGAGGATATATTGAGTTTCTGGTTGATATTTATACACTTAGTGCCCTTCTGAAAAACAAAGCAAAACAATTTGATCCTACCGTTGTCCGTTATGTGTAAAACAATATCTGCCGATAAATTTAGTACTTTTCAGATACAAAGATCAATCCAGAAACTCAATATCCTCTTCTAAAATTATTAATTCAAGGTGGCTCTGCATGTCAATACACGACAAACGTCAAAAGAAATCACGCATTTTACTACAAGTGCACAAAACCGAAAAATAAAATAAAATAAACACGGGCAAATAAAGGGGAAGAATCGTTCGATAATTTGTTGTGATCATGTCAACAAATGTGTTAAATATTCAGAAATTAACTTGGATGAAGTTGCAAACTAATTGTTAACGATTCCTGGAATAGGTTGAAGTGTTTCAAAATTTTAACTGACGCAGAAAGAAATGATATAACCTATTTGATATTTGTACTGAGCATTTTTAATGAGCTTCAAGCTACAGCATTTTCAAACGAATTCGTTCATTAATAAATGTTGAGCAAGAACATCGTTCTTTCAGCATGTACAATTCACATCATAAATTAATAGCATTATGTTTCTTTTTTTACAAGCTCTGTGACTTTTTTTGGGAGAAAAAAGTAAAATCTAAAACTTTTCACGTGAATTTTATTGCAAAGCGGAGAATAGATCAAGAGACTTTTTATTTCGCGTCTGAAAATGCTAAGATTTGAGAAGTAAAAATAATTCTTCGATAACTTAAAGCGTTTGATGGTCTAAACAGAGTAAGATAAGCATCCATAATGAAACAATTTTTATTGAACAGTCATGTGATATTGACAATTCGCATCATATATTAAAACTAGTGTTACGTGAAACTTCAGTGCTTAATGAGGTTTTGGAGAACACGACAAATTAAAATTCAAAATTGAATCGTTTGTGAATTTATATCACAACAGCATTTGTTATGATTGACATGATCACAGAAGCTATCACGGTTTGATTTCAACATGCAGCACCACCTTAAAATACTCTACAAAGGTTATCGCCTAGAAACAGGGTTTCAAACTCAGGAGAGTTGAGCGATTATAATACAATTTGGAATTTGGAAGGAAAAAAAAATTATAAACGAATCTGTCAAGATAAATGTAGTAAATTATGCAAATACTAACCGATAAAATTTAATTTAACCAAACTGGTGATCGCTCGATCCAAGAAATAAAACTCTCCACAATTTGAAAATATGTAACAGATGATAACTTTAAAGCGGTTGAAACCATTTCGACAAAAATGGCAGAATTAATTAATTTACATTCACTACCGAATTGAATATTTTTTTCGCGCGCCCGATGTCAATGAATGCAAATATTTAAGCCCAGAGAAGGATTAAACGTTAAACAATCAAAATGATTTTAGACTACGAAGTTTTGATCTGGAATATAACTTTGTAATTGCAAGACTGCCATTTCTTATCGGAAAGATTTCCATTTTTTAAATTCTAAAATGATATTCTTAACTTTGTCTTCATCCTCCCTGCTTGAATCCTTTTGATCTCCTCCAGTCCTGAAAATTGAACAGATAAATATTGGGTAAGGAAAAAACCCAAGTGTGGAAACTGGAAGAGTAAACGAGGAATAGAAGAATACGCAGTGAATTGTTAGACACGGGTGTGCGTTGACAAGTACAAGACAAAGTGACAAAGAAACGCCACTTTCGAAAAGAAAGCCAGACTCTCATAAAAATAACCGCTACGAAGTTCAGCGTCTTGTAAGGTTCCTGAACCAGTAAAGTAAAACTTTTACTCCGTTACTAAAATCATCAGGTTGTTCTGAAGTTCGACACGAAACGTAGACCGAGATCGGCAAGCGCACGTGTTAGGACTTGGAGCCGGTATTTTTGGTTGAAATGAAGAATGCAAAGAAATTGATTCTTACCATGGACAAAAATGGGTGTCAACCGACTGTCTTTCCCCAAACGTGGTCGCCATTTCTTCTTCAAAGTAAAAATTTGCTCCTAGTGTAGAAGGGAACATTTTACATCTTACTCCGACGGCAAGCATCTCAAAATGACAAACAAGTACCTCGGGTCAGCAACAGTCATTATGAATATGCAAAATAAGATTAGACCAATCAGCTAACAAATACGCCACGAATTTTAATGAAAACACCCTTTGCACGCTTTTCTCTGAAAAAGTTTTGCATTTTCTTTGTTCATATGGAGCTCACGTGAAATACTGAAACACAACACGTCATTTTTCAAGTATAACATGACAAACCACGACCCTCGTTTGTTACTTATCATCTGGTATCCAATCCCGGGCATCCAACTTGGACTCACGGTTGCGCTGATCGTTATTATGAGTTAGTTTATTAACAGCCCAAAAATGCAAAGCGTCAAACGCATCGTGTCACTGAAAATGTTAATGAAAATATTTATGGGGTAACTCAGGTTTTAAGCCTCAGTATTTTTTTGCCACTTTTAATTAACCAACTATTGAGAAGAAAAGTTCTGCTATTAATTCGAATTTGCTGTTTCAAACATGACTGGAAAAAAGAAGACCGACTTTGAACTGCATTGCTCAGCTGATGTCGTTTCTAAAAATCTGTTACACAATAATAAAACTTCGAATCAGCTAGACGTCAAATGAGAAAAGGACACTTTCAATTTGTTGCGACCAGATGGTTTACTTTTCTTCTGCGAGATGACAAGCGGATGCGACTCTGTTATTTGACGGGATAAACTACATAAGGTGGCTCTTCGTGTACGCATCCATGAGAAACTTGAGCAGTTTAGTATAGTACTGGATCGATACATGGCCGTCGCGAAACCATTCTACTATTTGCTTTTTATGAAGCACCACCGTGTGATTCAAATTATTTCTTTATCCTGGTTATTTCCAGTATCTCTCGTTGTGCGTTTTTCATCACTCTGGCATAGTTTAAAAGTGCCTCTTATTTGCTCTTTAGACTCAGATATTTTCTTTGTCCCACGCTCGTGTCAGGTTGATTAGTTTACTTTTCTCTTTTCATTACCGAGCTTAAAAACTAACCATCTTTATTCATTTATCATGTTATGCATTGTCTACAACCAGGCCTAATCTGCCCGCATCTTGGCCAAACAGTTAGGTTTTAATCACGAGGTTTTGTTAAAAACTCACGAACAGTCGCCGATTCTAATAATGGTCATTAT